TATTAATAATATCTTTATTTTTTTTAAAGCCTTTTTAATAAGCTTATCTAAAAAATGCCTTTACTAAATTTAGCTTTATTATTAAGAATAAAAAGTAATATAAGTAGTAACAAAAAAGAACTAAACTAAAAATAAGAAGTAAAAGAAATAATCTAAGTTAAACAAACTAAGAAAAAGGCGTATTATTAAAAGTTAAGTAAAACTAGCAGAAAGAAAGAGAGAACATTTCAAAGAGCAAGCTACTAAGCAATAAAGAATTATTTATCTTTTGAAGACCTACTAACCAATAATGCTAACAAGGATAGAGGTATCTCATGTTTATTTAGATGACAAGACTAATTTAGGGCCCTAAGTTCCATGAACTAGGCCCCTAGATATCATCATCTAAACTTAATAAGAAAAGGCATGATATAACAATGAGACCATGATGCATGATTGGCTGGTAGGAGCGGAAGAAAAGGTAACTGAGCAGGACCTGAGCAGCCTGAGCAAGTGGGTGAGCAAGCTGCGCCGAGGATGAGCCGAGGATGGATAGCGCCTGAGCAGAAGCGGCATGCTGACTAACCAGATGGAACTTCACTAAAAAAAAATAATGTGGTATAATACCAGAGTATTACTAATCTTTTCAAGCTGAATAAGAACACTTTCTATAAAACCGTTGTCACATAGTGCTATCTTTAGTCAAGTTCTTATTGCCCCTAGAGGTCTGCTATAAGAAGGCAGACCAAATTATTTTAGAATAGTGGGCGCTATAAGCACCCCACTGTTAGGAGCCCAGACAAGTTCGGACTTCTGTCTCGCCTACGACTTTCTTCACTCTTGCTCTACTGAGTACTACCCACTAGCTATACTACTACCGAGCAGGCAATAGGTTTATAACCTGAAACGAAATCTACTCTAATGTACAATCTAAAGGCTTGCGCCACAGAGCACACCAGGTCTAGCTCTCTTGGTCTAAAGTTACACTCATGGTCATCTACCTCACAATTCAAATTTCAATAAACAGATTGCTCTCCATAATCTACGGAACTTTGCGAGTGCTTTTGATCCTCCAACTCCACCTCGTAGTCATCTGTTCGAAGGATGGCATTTCTGGCAAGGTTCGTTTGACTTTCACTCTGCCTAGTTATAAGATGTAAGTTGGTTAACTTTCTGCTTGTACTTAATACCTTGGCAGAGTGCTGGCTATCGCCGTTCCGTGGCCGAAAGGTGGAATACTTGCTGTGGCGACTGATGTTGCTGTTATCTTGACGGCTCTCATTGCCACTCTTATTTAGAGCTGTTCTGATCCTCGACCATAGATCTTGTGAGCCACTAGCCATGGTGGCTTCGTATTACACGGGTACAGTGAATAAAGCCGTGCCCGACCCAAATATGTCAAAAACCCCCCTTAAGCTCGGTACACACGCAGTAAGGATAAAGAGGTTCATGACAACTTGACTCCAGATCGCCAGAGTGACATGAGTCCAAGACCTGTCGTTAGACTCAAAGTAGCTTTTCAACGACACTAGCTGAGGGTTCATGAAGATTGGATCCCTATCAGAAGCAGATTACTTAGCGAGCGTCTCCAGATAAGATCACATGAACTTGCAATATTCTTGATACGAACAGAGCCGAAACCTACCACTTTATGGTAGCTTTTGTCTGAATGGACCACATCATAAACACGGGTATGACTATCAAGGCAATATCCGTGATCATGTTGAGCACTCCGAGGACGAGATAGAGTGCCCACCGATTCACGCATGTGTCGTCGTCGAGGGCCCAAAGCGAAGAAAGCTGGCACTCGAACGCAAGGCCGAAGATGCCAGCTAAGGCCTAGGCGACTACTATGGCTAAAGGTGCATAACACGCCATGTGAATGCGTCTCTGTAGAGAAATATTTGTGACAAAAATGACAACAGAAGCCTTTGCGAAAGCGTTCGACACGATAAAGAGGATGTATGCTGCAAATGTGTACTGGATAAGATCAGTCTCAACCATCAATCACAGTTGGGATCACAATTGGGTCTTGGGCGCACTTTTGCGTAAATCTAGGGAGGAAAAAGAGAGAGCGTATTGGTGCTGACCCAGGCCATGTTTGCATGCTCTCACGATGCAAATGGTCTCAACCAAAGCACTCGTTGTCAAGACGAGAATGAGCCAATCGTATATTTTCATCGCTTGCAGATGCACTCTGGTCACAATCTTGGCCGCAACAACCATAATAGAGTAGATGAGAAAGACCGTGCTGGCGACAACGACCCATGATGAATGATTATCAGGTGAGATTGGGTAGAAGGCAGGAGACTCTTGACCTGCCATTTCACGATGCCCAAAGTAAGTAAACAAGTTCGAGAACGGCGCAGGAAGTGTGCAGGTATATGGTGGGGCAACACAGGGCTATCCAAGCCTGTCGCAACAACTCACAGATCAACAATAGCCATGGCAATCTTTTTCAATTTCCAATACTTTGAAAGGGGACGGAGCCACACTAGGTTGAGCCAGGCTTGCCACCCATAGTGCCACCGAGAAGTGACCTATACGGAGTACAAGGATCCTGACCAGTGATTCTAGTTGATACTCTGTCAATTTAACGAATCGTACGATACGAATTGTGGTTAGGATCCAAAGCCACGCATAGGCCACAACAGAATTAGCGAATCAAGAGACTGTGCTTTCTTACTTTATTTGGCATAACTGGCATGACGCTAGAAGTTATCATTTGGCGGCATCGTAGTTTTCTTCTTGACACGGGGAAGCTAGCAAGGGCGTTCCCCGCACAGTGTCTAACTACTACAAGCGACGACCAGCCAATGTGGCATTGTGCCAACTGTTCCACTGCTGATCGAAATTCGACCTTGATAGGCCTGTCAGAAAAGCGTGGCGGGTCTAACGTAGTAGAGTCTGGATACTGGACAGAGCCTTTGTCTGCGCCGTTTCGATCACTAACTAGTTACCAGACACCGGGCCGTTCGCCTTGCCTAGTTGCCAGTAACATGCTAGTCAGGCATGGAGTATTCACGAGCAGCTCTCGAAAATCCTCAACCCCTCGATCGTTTGTCACTTCTCTTGCATACCACCCTTCTATCCTGAGAACACTCATTCAGTTGCTATGGCCCCCCATAATGGAGCATATGAATTACGCATGACTGGAAAAGAGGATAATATAAATAATGTTGCCAATCGAGTTCCACACCACAATACCGCATCAGATGACAAGGTTGAATATGGCTCTAAGCAGCGGATGCCGCTTATCGGAGCAAATGGCGAGAATCTGGTCAGTGTGACGAGGATACGGAGGCTATTCAGCTTTCTTCAGATATTGCATTTTCTTTGACATTTATGAGTACATGGGAAGGCATGAATTCGTGAGTGGGACTGAAAAGCAGTTCAGGGAAGCTCGAGCTGACCTTCTGTAGCAACCTATTCTTTGCCCTCTACGAAGGAGGCCCTCAAGTCATTGCCTGGAGTATCGTAATTGACTTTTTCGGCGCCATTGCGCAAGCGGCATCGATCGCAGAAATGGCCTCAACAGTGCCTATCGCTGGCGCACAATATCATTGGACATATCACCTAGCACCTCAACCTGTGAAAAGATTCGCTACTTGGATGCAAGGTTGGATGACCTGGTTTCGCTGGGTTTCTCTACTAGCCGGCGCTTCCAACATCAGTGCCATCGTTGTCCAGCAACTGGTTATGCTAAACAATCCAAATTACGTTCCCCAGACCTGGCACGTAACTCTCATCATGGTCATCATGCTCTTCACCCAAGGTATAATTAATTCCATTGGCTGGATGTTCGCCCTTGTCCCTTGGCTCGAACTCATGGCCGGTATCTTACACATCTGTCTTTTTGTTGTCTTCATGGTCATCTACACCACAATGGGCACTCGGCACAGTGGGGAATGGATTTTCTTTGAACATCAGATCTCCTCCGGCTGGACTAACACTTACGTCGCTTGGAATCTCGGCATGCTCACTTGTATTTGGTCGTTTACGGGCTTCGACGGTGCAGTCCACATGTCTGAAGAAGTCCGAAAAGCCAAAGAAGCTGTCCCTCGTGCAACCTTCTGGTCCATTGCTTTGAATGGCGTCCTTGCCTAGGCTATGGTCATTGCAATCCTCACCTCCATGGGCTCCATGGACGACGTGCTCAACTCGGGCTTCCCTATTACCACGATTCTACTTCGCGTCACGGGCTCTGTCAAAGCCACGACTGCGATGCTTTCTGGCCTCTTTGTCATCTGCTATTGGGCTACCATTGCCTCTATCGCCTCCGTCTCTCGTCTCACCCGGGCCTGGGCCCGTGATGGTGGTCTACCCCGATGGTTTGCCTTCGTCCACCCTAAGCACCTCGTACCTATTCGCGCTGTTTGGCTGTCACTCATCATTGTCATGCTCATATCTCTCCTCAATGTTGGATCCACCGCCGCTTTTGGCGCCATTACTGCACTTTGCTCATTCGCCCTCTACTTCTCTTACGCCATCGCCATCGCCTCCATGCTCTACGCGCGCTGGAGCTCTGTCCACGGCGGCAAGTCACTTGAGCTCGGTGCCTGGAACTTGGGTCGCTACGGTGTCTATATCAACAGTTTCGCCCTTACCTACACCATTTACTGCATGATCTGGCTGCCGATTCCCGGCACGCTGCCTGTGACTGCGGTGAATATGAACTATGCAAGCCCGATTTTTCTGTTTGTTTTCTTCTTTGCGCTCTTCTTGTGGTTCCTCTGCGCGAGAAAGCATTGGGAGGGCCCAAATGTCGCCATCATCGAGTTTATCAAGGCTCAAGAATAAGTGGTGCACGGATTAAGTAAAAGGACATTTCATTACAGGAATTCAAACCCTGTAAGTACTCGCTAGTGATCCATGGACTACTGCTAGAGATGGAATACTGCCCCTCAGGCATAGCTCCGAGTCCCATGGGAATGGCTTGTTTTTGCTGTGATACTCATTAATACAATATGTGAACGTGAAATGGAATATGGCAATGACATTGCCTTAGGGATTAGTAAGTCCAATATAGTGGTTATTCTCATTTACTAAGGACTATGAGAGTTTCAAAGCAACGACCCCCCTTAAGTAGGGTCGATGCTGTTTCCAAGGAGAGAAGTCAGGATACTAGATAAATGGGGATCGTCCAAGCCTCAAACAGCTAGGTTATCCTTGCCAAGCCCGAGATGCACCCGATTTAACTGCGGGAGCTTGGCCTCAATTCAGTTGTCTCTGCATCGTTCCAGGTGTGGGAGACAGCTTTGTTTTCGACCTCAATTACAGTATGGACGAACAAAAGGTCTTCATTCCGCCAAAGCGGGTGAACACTGACTATCCGGTATCTTCTCGCTACCTACAATCTGCATCTCTACTAACATCTTGATCCTAAGGTGATCGATACAGACCCGTCTGTAACCCCCACCCCTCAATGTCGAGACCATTAGTTTTCTCGATATTCTCGTCTCTCCTAAGGCTGATCAAGCTCCAGACATTGGCGACGCGCCTTCCGCTATGCTCGTCGCGAAGACTGGGCCTTTGGCGCGGGTATTGGTGCCATGGGCCCAGCATTCATGCTGGCAACTGAGCGCTGGGCACCCTCCTGGGCAGGGAAAGGCGCTTTCCCACCTGTCTTCAGATTATCGTGCGCCATGGGAATTCTAGCTGCCGGATTTCTGACCTGGGAACGGAGTTGCTGTATGTCACCAATCCTGTGGAATTCCCCATCTATGTTAAGGCAACAAGGGTAAAGATTAATATGCTTCCTCTCGGCAGTGCGGCTCTATGGATGGACAGAAAATAACAGAGAAGTCGAGATGGATATGCGGGAGATGGTGGATAAAGTCAAGAAAGGGGAGCCACTGTACGGACACAGCGAGCTCACGCCCTACATGCAAGGTGTTGCGGCAAGAAACAGCAGATATTCGGCGCTCCTGGGGCATGTTGTGCCGTGGATGAATTTTGTGAATCATAACCAGGTATGTCCGTAACGGGCGCAGGAAGCAGCAATTTCTCGACTCTAGAGCTAACATGCACATAGCATGGTGTAGATACAGCCAAATATTATCAGCAAGCAGAGCGAGAGCTGGAAGCAGAAAGACTAGGAAAAGCCGAGTCATGAAGATGATGTCCTGTCCCAAAACAGAGCAAAATCTGAGAGGACATTCGGGCAGCAGTGGGCTTGGCAACGATTGACATTTTGTACATATGCTAAAGGCAGGTAGCGTTTGAGACGTTTTACATTGCTAAGCCATGCAAGAAATGCTGAACGGCTCATATCTACCTCCAGATGACGTATCCTATCGTACACCACAGGAATATGCCCTGGAAAGCATCATGCTTGATGGAAATGACGTAGATTCAGCCATGCTGAGAATCTATGGTCGACGCCTGCCGACTCTGGTCTAGACATTGATTTAGGGGATCGATAGGCCTCTCATGCCGCTTTGAAGGTCTCGCTTGGAAAGAGTAGCCTGGTGGGCTTATCGAACCTTGCCACTTCTCTGATCCTGTCCACCATCTGCGACTTATCCTCCTTCCTGTACCGACTCCTAAACATATTCGACAGATCATTCGTGGTGATTCCTGCCGGTGGAATCGCTGCATAGACCTCTGCAGCTGTTGGATAAGTTGACGGATCCGGTCCAGGACGAGCTGCCTGGACCGGCACAGCCGCTGGTTTGGGCGACGAGGCACGGCTCCCACCCTGAGGTGTTGCCACCTTGGGCGACCCGGATCCATCTTTGTGCCCGAGATTGAGCTTGAGACGTTTCTGTTTGCGGCTGTTATCGGACATAGCACCCCCATCGCTATGTGCAGCAGTCTCAGTGTCGGAACCAGGCCCGAGAGCCAAACTTTTCCGCTTCTTTGCTGGGTTGATAACATTAAGATGTGACGTGTTGGAGTCTTTACGGACGCCGCTCGTTGGGGCAGAGGAAGACGATGGCACGTTGGCAGGAGAGATTGGTCGAGAGGGGTAGGGAGTTGGTTGAGTGGATGACAAATGTCGATTTTTCTTTTTCTTGCGGGAAAGAGATACGTCTGTCCCTGAAGCATCGGAAAGATTGGGACTACCGGGTCTTTTGAGAGATTTCGAGGATGAAGACCTTTTCATACCACCTTCTCTATCGCTCGCTGTGCCACCATGCTTTTCTTTGCGTCCAGAAGGGGTGTTGGTTCCTGTTGATGCGCCAGAGTTTTTAGCCTCAAGTTCAGCCTTTGTCTTCTTCTCTGCTTGCAGACGCCGACGTTCAGCTTCAGTATTCTCTGATTCGCTCTATGGTATCACTGTTAGCACTATCCACTGGAAGGATGACGTCGGCAACGTGCATACCGTAGAGCCGAATGGATCATCAGAGTCACTCGCATGGTCAAAATTTTTCTCTCGTTTTTCTAAAGCCCTCTTGATCCCTTTACTTATCAACTTCTTTCTCTCCTTTTCTCGCCGCTCCCGTTCTTCAGCTTGATCATACTCGATCTCCTCCTTGATGCCGAAAATGTTGGCGTTCAACTGATCTTCCTTGATCCTGCTTTCTGCCAATTTCTCGTCTTCATCCTTTTCGAAAAATGTGTCACCCTCCTCGTCATCCGCGAAATCCTCTTCCATGTTGAAATCAAGATCTGCGCCTCCATCTTCCCTGCCAGCTGCTGTGTCGTCTTTTGTGCCAAAGAACGGCCTGTTACCTCTTGACAATCTTTCAAGCTGAGCGGTTTTGAGGTTTGCTTCTCTTTGATCAATTATCCACTGAGGATCACGCCCTTTCTTTTTCATGGCGTTCTCGGCTTCTTCAATCGTCATGGTTTTGAATGTCTTCCTTGGCTTGAATTGATACATCTTTTCTATAGGTAGAACCCGAAAACGGCCGTTCTGTGCGTCTATGGACTGCTCGTAGACAAACGCAGCATGTACGTTTGAGGATCCGGCCTGATTGGAACCAACATAGCAGTGTTTGTTGTCAAAGTCCTCGATATGCCAGGGTAGCTTCTCCTCATAGTTGTTCTGCATCTTTTTCCGTTCCTCTGGAGTGTAGTCTCTGTTGAAAACCTGCGCAGTTTTCGTTTTGATGATGTTAGACCTCTTGCCAGAATCGACAGATGGTGCAACTTGCGCCAGATTTGCTTCGCGCTCCAGCCGCCGCGCCTCTTTTCGCTTATCGAACTCTTCTCTCTCTTCAGCATCCATTCCATCGTTTACACCCTCACCATTTTCCCCCTGATTTTGTTCAGTAGGAACCGACCGCGGATCTCTGCGATGAAGGCGAACAGGTCGTGTGAAGTCCGCTTCATTGCGGATATCGATAGGTCTGTCTCCGCTGAACTGTAGGACATGGTATCGCAGACCATTTAGGAGCTCTCGCTTTGTTGTAACAAGTGTGTAGTCACGGTATGCGACACCATCTACTGTGCCATTAAGATCGCTGAAGCCGCTAAATGTTTTACGATCACTTGGGGCTGGAGATGCCCGTCCTGGAGAAGGTCCACCCAAGGGAGCCGGTGAAAGTCCAGGTCGAGGCTTTAACACTGGTGGAGGGGCGCCATTGATACCCGGCTTCGCAAGAGGCACCGCGGCTTTGTAAGTTGGTTTCTTCTTCCCCCCAAAAAGCGGATCTGCAGCCTTCGGCTTTTTCTTTAGAAGAGCGACACTGCGCTGAGGATGTTGGTCATGAGACACAGGGTCTGTTGGCGGAAGGGAAGGGTTCATTTGGAACAAGGGATGTTAGCTAGCAGATGTAGATAGAGTTGGACGCAGGAAATAGCTGCAGAGGTATGTCACAACCGACGGAGCCTGGCGCGAAAGCAGCGAGTACAGTCATGGACCTAAGTCGACAGGATGCTGGGCTGAGCGACAGATAGTGGCTTAGATTCCCTGCTGTGCCAGCATCCTTGGTCCAAGGGCAAAAATGTCAATGCTGATGAAAGGAATGGCGGCTCTGCGGGGAGCTCTGATGCTTGAAGCGTGCCAAGACTGCCGGCGAGACCGAAACGTGCTATTCGCAAGCAGGCAGCCACAGGATCAATACTCTGATATTCACTACCCCTGCTACTAGACCCATATGGATACAGAGCATCCACTTAATGTACGACAAGTGAATCTTAAACTGCTTCGAGGTTGTCATGAAAAATTCTCGTCGAGTGGTTGCTGAGATACCTCAACCTGCTGCATGCAGGTCAATCCTATGGAGCTCACCATGCTTAAATCTGTCCACCCATCAGCATTGTGACCGCAGAGTCTCTCTCAAGAGCAGGCTTCTGAACCATTTTTATACCCACCACCAGTAAGGCGCATCTTCAACGTGAAACGTCCAAGTGGCCTTTCCTTGCAAATCTTCGCATTCGGATCTCTTCTGTGAATCGTGTCCTCCATCCTTGAGGGGAACTACGTCACTGAAATCCACGGCCATGGACCAGTCTAGAGCAGAACCTCCAAACAACCTACCTCCCTTGGTGCAGCGGCAGCTCGAAACAGCGGCTCAGCAAGTCTCCTCGTCTCGAGCATCTGCGAACCGTGGGCGACAGCAACACCATCATCCGAACCAGCGTTGTGTTGCATATCGTGGACCATCTCGCCGAGGGGATTATCCCAATCGAGGCAGAGCTAGGACTTCACAACTCGTGCAACCTTTTCATCAGCTCTCCAGAAATCAGCAACCCTTCCCGAACCGTGGAGGCCAGCGTTCAAGAGGATTGTCTTATCAAGCCCGGCCTCTCTTCACTCGTCAAGATCAGGCAGCCGTAGCAGGTCCTCACCCGCCAACGCCTCCTTCACCTAATGCTCTTTCGACATTTCAGCCGCCTCCACATCACCCTCCAACTGACTCCCATTTGGCTACAACTGTAACTTCTGATTGCTCCTTCTCCATTGCTGGGGTTCCTTCTGACACTTCTCAACATCGACTTGCTTCAGAAGCCTTTCCAGCTTTAGGATCCCATCAGTTTGCTTCCCAGAACCTTTCACAACCTACGAATAATCCATCTCATTTCCGATTTGAGCATCAAAACTCAGCCACGTCTCAGTACGCACCTCAAATGAGCGTCGACACTGCACAAAGGTTCTTTGAACGCGCCTCAACTGGAGCATATCGCGGCAATGCAAATTACTCACACGTACCTCAACGTTCGGGTCCCAAGGTTGGTGTTCCTACGTTTATGACAGACCAGAACTCTCCTGCTCGTGGCATTGCTACTCAGCCGCGTCTTTACAATCCTGGTACAGATCGTCGTCTGTGCGATCCTAATTCGCACTCGCAAGCCGACATTCACCGTCAGTGCCAATACTTATCGTCTCTTGCAGATAGAGAAACCAACAAGGAGCTGAACAGCAAAGAATTGCATGAGAAGGAAGCTTTCAGAAAGCGATTGGAAAAAATTGTTCAAAAGCTTGTTGCTGACTACGCTAAAGATCATGTCACAGTCAATCCGAAGAACGTGCGACTTAAATGTTATGGCAGTCTTGCTAGTGGCTTCGCGGTCCCTGGGTCAGATATGGACCTACTTTTGATATTCCCAAAAGACCAAGGACCCGTTGGCCCTATTGAGGTGGAGTCTCGCAGAATGATAGAAAAGTCACTCCTAGACCTTGGGTACGGGGCCCGTTTGTTGACGAAGACGCGGGTTCCCATCCTTCGAGTGTGTCAAAATCCAAATGCTGAGCTTCTAGCAAGCCTGAGGAAGGAACGTGAACGATGGGAAGAAGAAATGGCACTTGAGGAGAAAGAGAGAACCCTCCTTGCTTCAGGTTTGGACCCCAATAGGCTTCCTTCAGATATCACCGATGAAATGTCGGACGCCGCTACGGTCACGTTTGCGGAGCTCGATGCCGAACCCTCCATCATACCTTTACCGCCATCGCCAGTCCGTGCTCATGCCAGTCTCGAGTACACGTCTGATGTCGGCATACAATGCGATATCAACTTCTCGAATTACGTTGCCATCCACAATACAACTTTACTGCGCTGCTACTGCAAATGCGATCCACGGGTCAGACCGATGGGGCTTTTCGTCAAGGAATGGTCCAAGGCGAGGAAAATCAACACACCTTATCATGGAACACTATCCTCGTACGGCTATATTATGATGGTACTGCATTACCTCATGAATATTGCTCAGCCACCTGTCATTCCTAATCTTCAACATCTTGCAAAGAATGAGGATGCTTGGAATAACAAGACAAAAATCGAACTGTTCGAAGGCTTCGACGTGCGCTTCATCCAGGACGAGGATATGCTTGAAAGACGTGCCCAAGCAGGGCAGATGACGAAGAATCGAGAGTCTCTTGGTTCACTACTTCGTGGGTTCTTTCGCTACTACACCGATAGCCGCGGTTTCCATTGGGTCAACGACGTTATCTCAATTCGTACGCAAGGGGGGCTGTTGACGAAGAAGTCGAAAGAGTGGACCGAGGCAAAGCGCGCTGGCAAAGACAATTCTATCAGACTGCGTTATCTCTTCGCCATCGAAGATCCATTTGAAACTGACCATAACATCGCTAGGACTGTAGGTCATTCTGGCATCGTCGCGATCCGCGATGAATTTCGTCGCGCGTGGGACGTTCTGAGCAAGATCAAATACGCTGAAGGTCGCTGGGTGTGGTACACGGACCAAGGCGGGGAAGGTGAAGATCTCTTCGCGAAGGCTGATGATCGTGGCGATTTGCTCAGGCAAGACCAAGACTATTACAAGGAGAAAATGAGAAAGCTTAGGGAAATGGATAAGAAGCGGGAGGCCGAGCTGAAGTCAGCAGATAATGACAAAAGCGCCTCAGTCGAGAAGCCTGATGGTAGGTGTTCGGTACCATCCCATCCAAGCGGTCCCCAGGGTAAAGCGAACGTCTGCGGACCTCGCTCAAACACCTCAAAACCTAAGCTAATAAATTCGGATTGTGTCCTGCAGAATATTCCAGTCCGAAAAATGAGGAATCTGCAGAGGAAAATGGCGCCAGCCACCGAAGAGAGAGTAAGCCAGGAGAACAAAGCAAACCCTAATGTTGTGAAGAGCACATCGAAGCACGATGATATATCTAAATGGATCGAGTCTACTGCAGAAGCCAGCCATCGCACAGAGATAGGTGTCGAAAGTAACCGGGAAAAGAAGTCTGAGGCTACGGTAGATCGGAAGTCATCGCCAAAACTTACGGAGATTAAGCAGAAGATTTTGGACGTCGTGGGCCCTCCCCAAAAGCGTCCTCTGAAGTCTTCTCTAAGTCCCACTGGGCCGAAAGTACAATCCACTTTTCACACTGGTCATGTCGCTTCCGTATGTGCCATGAATGATACTAACCGATATCCCACGATCAATGCCAAAAATCCGCTTTCCGCATGGGACGTGAGGAATCGAAACGGACGCTGGTTAACATGGCGTGATGAAAAGATCCGCGAAGGTACTTGGGCGACCCCCCAAAACCCTGTCCTCCGTGATCTGGATCTGCGATATCCATATGATGCAGCTCGCGAGTTACCTGATTTTGAGCAGCAGCACAGGATTGCGAATGTGCGAGCCAAACGTAATCAATACTTCCAGCGGGAAAAGGTCGACGGAGACTTCACCGAGGTCGAGGCACCTCCTGGCAGCCAGGTTGTTAAGTCTACTCGCAAAGATTCAGCAATATCGATGAGCAAGTCTAGGAAATCTCTGGGTCCACAGTCCAAATCTCGTCCTCAGTCTGGACTTCACAACCAGGGTCTTGAATGTACTTCTGCTCAGCAGAGAGATATCCCAAAGCCCCCGTCTACATCAGCTTTCACGTTAGCCCTCTCCTCAGATAATCCTGAAGTGATCCCCGATACCGAACTCGAGGTTGGGCACATTCTGGAAGACGCTTTGCTTCCAACCTGTGGCCCTGACCCTCAAGACTACAGACATGATTTCCCTATCCCTACTGCCTTGGACTTCGAATTTGACCCAGCCCAGCTACGTGATTTAGGTATTATAGCCCAGGGTGGAAGCGGATGTGCACGAGGTATTATGGAGCAGCAATATGGTGCATATGACTACGACGGGTTCCGCAACATTGAATTGAGCAATGAGTGGGGTGGGGGAGGCCGAATGGGTGAGCTCGTCACCGACAGTGGAGGGGTACCGATTGTGGACTTTTCGAGTCCTGAACCAATGCCATATGTGCAGCGTGGAGACGAAGAAGGCTTAATGAGGGAACTGCCTGCTGACTGGTAGCCAGGATTGGATCTCAGGCAGTGAGGCACGGGACGTTGAGAACACATGTGGGCTTGAAGGCTGGGTTGTGACGAGGATGGCGCCCTTATTCTCAATATGATGTGCATGCTTGTGGGTATTGCATTTGAGCGCTGCTGGTCAAAGATCCATGCAGAAAATACACATATGATAGAGGTTCAGCTTTTTTTAGGCTCTGACATTCGGGCGCTTACAACATGTATAGCACTAAATTACTACTCTTGCATCTTCATAGGAAGCTTCTCATAGCAACATTGTAGTCCTTGACTTGCATATCGTTCCACGATCTCTTCAACCTATCTTGCGGTGCCTCCTCACGTGAAAGCGTGATAGTACTATCACGCATATTGTCAAGCTCTAGTCTGATATTACATCTGTTCCCCCTTAATTAAGGTGCTCAATTATAAAGTTCTTAACTTAAATATATTCCATCGTCTACTACCTTTTCAATCTTGTTTACAACCTTACACAGCCCTCACTTCAACATGTCTCCACGATTACCTGATGTCTCTGAAGACTCGGTATTTTCAGTGACCTTGTCTGAAGCGGCGGCACGAGCTGATAGATTTATATCACGGTTGGATGAAGATCCGGTGACAAGACTGGGAAGACAACTCTCACACAAGTCTGTGATCTCAACCGCCTCATCGTTCGCCCGGGAACAAGAGGAGGCCGCATACCGGAGTGAAATTCGGACATTTTTGTTTCTTGATCATGGGTTTTGTGGAGATATCTTCGCGTATACAGGCAGGAATCAGGTGTTGAAGCGGGCGATCAATCATGATGACAATCTATGGAACGATTATCTGATGGGTTCCGACGTCCACGCAAAGTTTTCGGTAGCAGAGAATCTCTTTGCTCCACATGAGCCACCATGCATCCCCAAACCCGAAGCCTGCATATCTCCTGAGAACGAAAGATGGTGGGCTCAAAATGGCCTAAAATTCCCGGACGATCGTCAAACAGAACAAAGAATGCCAATTATGATTCTGGAAAGGATCCTCCCCCTTTCAAAGCCAATCCGAGACAATCTCATCGAGGTATTTCATGGACCGAGAGGGAAAGATGAAGCCAAAGCAGCACCTGGAAATCGGAATTGTGTTGCGCGGCTTTACTTGGGCAAGCGTAGACAATCCGAGCGGCCTCCTTCATGGTTTCGGCTGAAGAACTTTTCATTACACCTCAATCAAGCGGAAATGATTGGTCTCGACATCAAGACATACGCAACCGAGATGGCGATAGCACTCGCACTTTGTCATTGGAGAGTGCATGTTGATGCCAATGATGTAGAGTTTGTACTCGGAAGCTGTCCTACCACACAAAACTTCGCTCCTCTAACGAACGAGCAAATCAAGGCCCTCGCCCCTTACACAGACACTGATCCAGATACACGATATGACAATTACCGGAAACGATCAACGCATCTATGGACGATAGATTACGACAAATGCAGGACAATGACCCTGAATGAAAGCGGAGTCAGTCAGGCAATTCACGCAGCTGAGGAAAATGACCCATATTTCCCAAAGCCACATGCAGAGCTTGAAAGCGACCAGAAGCTCTGGGAACATTTTAAGTCGAACTACCTATCAGCCAGCTCCAGAGTCATGATAGCCGATGCGGTCAACGAAGAAGCAAGAGCACTGCCGATTAAGTTCATAGAGGGTTGGGAGGTCTATCGGAAAGGGAAAATTGAGCGCCGATCGGTAGATGATGATTTTTAGCTCCGTAGAGGAGGGGGCCAGTATGTAGTAAACTGGGCACCATAACTGTAATAAGGTTAGACTAAGACCTCTGCACAGGTAGGGTACTTGTTCAAGGCAAATCAAATCAAAAAGAACAACACTAGATCAGCTTTCCGGTTCGAGGGACCAGTTGTGGAGCAGTGTGGATCAAACCCTCAACTGGTGGTATGTAGCTATCTAGAAATCTAAGATGCAAAGTTCGGAAAAGATAGCTCCGTTGGCGCCAAGGCCCCACAGCGGTTACAGTAGTACTTTGTGATACTGTTGTGGTATGTAGTACGAAGACGTGGGACTTCGGCCCAAGGAACGTTCCTGAAGATCACCAAACATGTCTCTTCTACTGGGGTACTATTGAGGGGAGGGGGCAATACTACGTACAGACTGTTAGGTGGTGCTAGTAGCGGCTAGTTCTGATAAGTTACAACGCTTCACAATCTGATTGGCTTTGATCTGCCTCCTTGGCGCCCGCTGTAGTACTGTGTTTGTGTGATCAATAAAGCTGATAAATTGGAAATCGTTCTTGAAGAAACGTAGATAGACAATAAGATTATAGGAATCTGTGTGTGCTTCTTTAGTCAAGTATTTGAGGTTCTTTTATTGAACGAATGGAGATATAGATCATCAGATAATCTGTAAAACAGCTGTTTCGGAGCAAGCTTACTAGCGTCAGCCTAACAATATTTACCCCTCGGAGTACGTCATCAACCCTGGAATTTCTTTTTCACGATCTCGACTCGGGACAGAAGCCGCTGGACGTGATCGGACTAGCCTGGCCATGGGCAATGCTGACTTTTTTGTCGGAAACAGTCGCTTTGCTACAACATCCTCGCGTTCCCAACTTTTCGGATTCCTGCGACGATGCCACCCTTCCTCCCACGCAAACGAACCCCGCCACCAGGCTCCCCAAGTTTACCCACGCCCAGGAAGAGAACAAAGCTTAACGATGTACTAGACGCAGATCCAGGCCAATCTTTTGACCTCCAAGCCGCAAGAAACTTCACATTGGGAGATGATGACGAGTCAAACTCCTCGTTGAGCGACATCGATAGCGACGGGTTCGAAGATGTGTCGCATGCCGGCCAAATACCCTACAAAGAAAAGAAAAGGAAGGAGGAGGACCAGGATGAAGACGTCGATTGGGAGGACGCAATGGCAGAAGGTGGACCTGTCATCAAGAAGCATGTCCCGATGATGGGTGGGAATCTCGAGCTGAACCTGTCAAGAAATGTCGACGAGATCGACCAGTACAACTTGACTCGAGCTGTTACAACGAGTAAGAAAGGCCCAACAAAGATTGAAAAAGAGATCAGGTTACAGACGCATTGCATGCATGTACAGTTTCTGCTCTACCACAACGCTGTTCGTAATTCCTGGAGTTGTGACAAGGAAGTACAGGATATATTGGTCAAGCAGCTACCTTCAGGCATCGAGAAAGAAATTCAAAAGTGGAGAGTTGCGAGTGGGTTGGAGACCGCGGGAGACGTACCGAAGGGGAACACAACGTCGGTATCAAGGAGCAAGTGGAAAGGGAAGGCAGCGGCTGCTCAAAATGTGCGGATCCAACGAGACTGGGGCAAGCCGAGCAATCGGGTGGAAAGTGGAAAGCCAGACCTTAGTCGAGGTGACCCGATTCTTCCCCTCCTCAAAGTCCTGGCAGCATACTGGAAAAAGAAGTTTTCAATCACGGCTCCAGGACTTCGCAAGAGGGGCTATGCATCAGCAGCAGTGAGACAAAGGCAGGTCAGATCGTTTCAAAATGAGAAACATGACCCTATAAAACATGGCGAGAGGATCGAGGACCTTTCTGCATTCCGCAAATTGGCCAGAAAATGCCAAGGATCTCGTGACGTTGGTGCACAGCTATTTACTGCATTGCTGCGTGGCATAGGGATAGAGTCGAGGCTGGTTGCTAGTCTGCAACCAAGCGGCTTTGGTTGGACCAAGAACGAGCAAGCTGAAAACAGGATTTCTGAGAACGTCGTTGAGCATGATATTGGAGAGGGCTCAAGCGTTATATCTAATGAAGACCGACCATTTTTGAATGAACAGCGCACAATGGACAAGCGTAAAAACAAACGGGGTGGCTCCGCAGGGCGAAAAGGCGACATTAAAGGGAAGGGCCATATTGATGATCCAGTCAACCTAGACACTTCGAGTTCAGAAGAGTTTACTATGTCGGAAGTGGACGACGCTTCCGTTGCTGATGCTACTCTTGCCACAACATCGCAAAAGCCGTCCAAGTACGACCGAGACCTTGTGTTTCCGACTTATTGGACGGAAGTTGTTTCCCCCATCAATTCAACGGTAATACCAGTATCACCACTGGTCTTACCCAATCCAGTGGCAAGCACTGCTGAAGTACTCTCCACTTTCGAGCCGAGGGGGGCAAAGGCGGACAAGGCAAAACAGGTAATGGCATACGTGATTGCACACTCCTCGGATGGGTCCGCCAAAGATGTTACTACCAGATATCTAAAGCGGCGGATGTGGCCTGGAAAAACCAAAGGCGTTCGTATTCCAATCGAGAAAGTGCCAGTCTACAACAAACGTGGAAAGATATTGCGATATGAGGAGTATGATTGGTTTAAAACCGTGATGAGCGGGTACGTTAGGACCGAGAAGATGCGGACCACAGTCGACGATGTCGAAGAGTCGACGGATCTGATCCCGCAGCAACCAGAGAGGAAGGACCACAAGCAAGAAGGCGACACACTACAAAGCTTGAAAGCATCGGCAGAATTTATACTGGAACGTTTTCTAAGACGAGAGGAAGCTCTAAAGTCGAACGCCAAGCCAGTGCGTACCTTTCCTACTGGCAAGGGCGATAAGCTAAAGGAAGAGAATGTCTACTTGAGAACAGATGTAGAACGGTGTCTCTCCGCCGAAAGCTGGCACAAAGAGGGAAGGCAGATCAAAGAAGGGGAAGTTCCACTGAAGCTTGTTCCAATTCGGGCAGTAACTTTGACCAGAAAAAGAGAAGTTGAGGAAATGCAACGACAGACGGGTGAGAAGCCCACACAAGGGCTTTACAGTCGTGACCAAACCGAGTATATTATTCCGCCACCAATCAAAGATGGTATCATTCCAAGAAATGGTTATGGTAATATCGACTGCTTCGTCCCTTCCATGGTGCCCAAAGGGGCTGTTCATATACCGATGAGAGGTACAGTAAGAATATGCAAAAGGCTGGAGATAGACTATGCAGAAGCCGTGACAGGCTTTGAATTCGGCAAGAAGCTCGCCATACCTGTGGTCGAAGGGGTCGTGGTTGCCGAGGAACACGAACAAGCTGTGAGGGACGCCTGGGAGGAATATGCAGAACAGCAAAGGGTGAAGGAGGAGGGTAAACTCGAGAAGGCTGTGCTTGATTTGTGGAAGAGAATACTGATGGGGTTGAGGATTCGAGAAAGAGTTAGTGATACCTACGGGGAGGATGCCGAGGCCAGTGATGTGGCCCTGGATGATGTCGGAAAGCCTGGCAAACTCCATGATGTGCTCCCTCGTGACCATGGTTTTGATGGTGAGGATGCTGCTTCGGTGTATGGTATGCAGGACGGCGGTGGATTCCTGCTTCCACACGAGAACGATGAGAATAGAGCAGCCTCGTCCAATGAGCTTGTCGTCGAGCATCATGATTCCTTACTACAACCGAAATACAAAGAAGCTGAGCAGTACCCTACGCCCGTTTCGACCACATCCACCGATATGAAAGAGCATTCCCAGAACCGGAAACACATCGTGGCAATCACTGGTGCTTTAGATCTATCCGAAGCCGAATCCACCGGCTATAGGCTTGGCGCAGAAGAAAGCAATATCACACAGAGGCCCGCAAGAGAAGGGAAACGCTCTTCGACTAAACAACAACAAAATCCACCCATAGTGGTCGAGATTCCAAAGAAGGAACGACAAGCCACCCAGAAGAGGTCGCAAACCCCTGGTCCAATTCCAATTGAGGAAAGATCCGATCTTGCACTTGGAGGCCCCAACGGCGACAAGGGTGATGATCAAACAAAGGCCATGCAGCGTTCTATGACAACAAGCGGAAAACGTAGCTCAGGAAGAGAGAGAAAGTCGGCCTCGGAGCAAGAAGTGGCGCCGAAGCGCAAGCAGCAGCCAAGGAGAGCAAGCAGGAAAGCTGCATTGACGAGTCCGTATTTTGGTCTTGATGGCGATGGCGACGGAGACGAGTAGGCTAGAACTAACATGCTGACGGTTACGTGCAGTATTCCGTCTTAGCATGGGTTGTATAACCTGCTACAACAGTAGGGACCTCAAATGACGCAGTTGTATCCCCTTGCTGTGGACAGCAATGAATGTTTCTCCAGCTATTTGACTGCTCAACTCCACCAAACCCCGATCTGTCCCACCCGTGGTGCAGCCTGTGTGACCCTACGTCCCTCCTAACAAACAGGTGGTTCTTTTCGATTCCTGGTCCTTGGGGCGGTCACGTCACCTATATGAAAAATCCTTCACCACCAGCTACATCCTTCATCGACGGCCTAGATAGACTTTGATACATCCGATAGCATTCAAGCTCGTATAGAACAATGGGTCTATTGGCTTTGCTACATGATAACTAAGTAGGAACGGGGAGTCTGGAGCCCGTTGGAGGTGTCGAGGCGCGGAAGTGCGTCTAGAGATGGGGCAAGGAAAGCCAGGGTGAAGACTTTCCGTATGAGGAATGAATCAAGGCATTTCCGACCATACCGAGCAGGAAGTAGAGACAGAACGGCCAACACGTGAGTAGATCAGTTACGGAGTATCTCAGTCTGCTACTATCTACACCAATCATCGTCTTTCACTATTTTTTCAAGGATGGTTTCGTTTTCTTACCGTTTCTCTACGCATGAGTCCTTGAGCCTACTACGGTAGGAGACATAAGTATTTGTTGGCTCTAGCTAGAAGTTTGCTATGCAAAGTCAAGTATTTCTATCGTCTTTGTTGGCTTCAACGGATGGATGCCTTTGTTGAGCCGTGTGAAAGGTGTGATCTCTTCACCACCCAACGACTGCACTGCTTTTCAATGAGCGGAAATGCGATCGACTAGCTTCTGCTCTGCGAGAGGGCCTCAGCATCGCTAAAGGAAGCGAGCCTCGTCTAGTCGAAAGAAAATATCCTGGCGGACTCCGAAGAGGGACACACCCATACTCCCATCTTTCTCAATCACAATAGAGATGATAATGTAGTAGACATGGCTTTGGGCAGGGAGATGCGGCGCACATTGATCGCATTGGGGACGCACAATGTTGTATGGAAACAATATGAAATTGGAGGAGATTGAATACCAGCACCGGAGGGGTTTGAAGACCTCGTGGAGTTCCTGTCATAACCAATGGGGTGCATGAAGTACAAGTATGTAGTAGAGATTGACAGTGTCAGGAGCTGGGATCGGGAGATGATGATTTTTAGCTCCGTAGAAATTCCGCCCTGGCAACGAGCACAGACAACAAAGTCAAGACTCACTTTTTGTCGCTCCACTACATCTTCTGCCCCAGACTTCAGTAATTCCAACATCAAACACATCATTCGCACTTTACAGCGCAGACCTAATATCGGCCTTGTAGAGGCTATTCACATCCCGGAAGCTCTACCTCTTAGTATCTCTGACAATGGTACGACCATACATGCCCAGCATTCGTTTCTCAACCATTGCCCGCGAAAAATCCGAGACCCTGATCAGTTTGCTGGATCCCTAACTGATTCTCCAAAAAGAGCCCAGCTGACATACTCCTCCCAAAACCAACAGGCCAGCACAAACTACAAAGAAGCCTTCTCCCTATTCGACAAACGCGGCAACGGGCGCGTCTCCCTCGAATCCCTCGGCGACCTCCTCCGAGCCTGCGGCCAGAACCCCACCCTGGCCGAGATAAGAGACCTAGAAAAGACGGTTGGTGGTGATTGTGCGTTTGTCCCCACTTTTTCCGTCATTCCTCCCCCCAAATCACCCCATTCTAACACCTAAGTTGACCCTTGCGTGTGTGTGTGTGTTCGAAACAGTCGATTTCGAATCCTTCTCCAAGATCCTCAACCGGCCCGGCGGCTTCCGCGACCCGGGCGAACCGGAAGAATACTGCCGCGGCTTCCAGGTCTTCGACAAGGAAATGACGGGCTTCATCGGCGTCGGCCAGCTGCGCTACATCCTCACCAACCTGGGCGAGAAGATGAGTGATGACGAGGTCGACGAGCTGCTCAAGGCCGTCGACACGTCCAGTGGCGAGATCAATTATACCGAGCTTGTCAGGACGATTTTGGCGAATTGATGCGTCACTGTTGCTACTGGTGGTTGGTTGTGGTGGGAGGAGGAGTTGAGGACGATATATGGGATGGATGGATGGATGGATGGATGGAAGGGAGATGAGAGAGAGTCGTGTGTTGATCGGATGACACTGTTGGAGTACTGATACAAGGACATCGATTGGCGTTTTTTTCGTTTTCATCTTTGCACCGGCCAGGATCATGAGAAGCGCGCTGTGGACATCTTCATCCTCTTGCTTGATTCGAGTAACTATTCAGGCGTCATGACCGTGCAAATAATCACATCCACATGTCCATAACACACAGCTAACCAAGTAGCTGCAGTTCATCTGCCCCCTATGTGTCCTGCCTCTCTCCTGAACTCCTTGATATTGATGAGGATGGAATTCAAAGTAGAGAGAATGCAATTTCTTCCGGACTGTCACCAGCTGCACCCATTTGCCCCCCTCCCTAACCCAGTGCCTTACACCTTCGTTTGTCTGTTCTGTTCCACTCCTAACAGGCCTGTCCTGGAGTGACTAGTTGTGCGGATTGCTTCATGGGACTGACACCGGGGATCCAAGAACTAACATACTCAAGCCAGGGGGGAAGCAGAAGCAGAAGTAGTAGGGTGGACACAGCGAGCCAGGGTTTCTGGGGGGATGTTGTAGCGTGTGGCTTGAGGCCAGAAACTGAACAGACGGATGAGATGTAACATCTATTTCCCAGTTGTCGTCGTATGTAGTATGTCGTATATATGCGTCTGGTTCTAGTTAGGTACATTCTGTACTGTATGCATAGACCTCTCTCTCCGCCTTCGCGATAGAGAGTATTGTCTTTTCCATCCCTCTACCCTCCCAGCACCATTCCATTCCATCTTCATCCCGTCGACCCCCATCGTTCCCTCACTTCTACCAGCCGGCCATGCTCAATTCTTCAACCCCAACTCCTCATAAAATGCATCCGGTCTGGGCTCTCTGCCCAAAAATTGCACCAGCGTCTTCATCTCTTCCTGACTGCCTCCCTTCTCGAGCACTGTGTGTCGATATCTCCGGCCCTCGGTGGCGTTCATGGGATTGGCTTTGAACACGCTATAGAACATGTCGGTTGAGTACACCTGTGAACTATCAAGCCGCACACACGAGCACGTCAGCATGAACAACACCCCTCATCTCGCGAAGTCTGACCGGGTACGTAGGGGGCCAGGAAGAAAATTACAAACCTTAAATAACCATAATAGCCCGCATCATATCCGCCCATCAAATGGCCAAAGGTAGCCTGTCCATTGCCCCAGTTGTCTCCCTGCCCAAACACCTCTGGCCCGTCGAGGTGACAGAGCTCCTTCCTCAGCCCGTTATATTTCTCCGAGATCTTGACCTGTTCTAATGCTTCATGCGACTCCGGTTCATGGATGAACATGTCAAATAGACCGAAGTGGAGTTGGCGCAGGTTGAACAGCGCTCCGTTCAAATTCTTAGTCTTGATCAGCTTGCTGATCAGGTCATCTGGGATCTTTTCTTCTGGCTGCTGGATACTGTTGGTAGGGCCGGCCTGTTCTTTCCACGCTTCCAAGTACTCCGGGGACAGAGACGAGTAGTGATGGCTTAAAGATTTCAGCTGGGATGGGGTCCAGCACCAATTCTCCAACATCTGGCTGGGTGCTTCGACGAAGTCGCGCACGGTGTTGGTGCCGTGGAAGCGCGAGTAGGTGGTTCGGGAGACCAGGTCGTGGATGCCATGCCCAAGTTCGTGGAAGAGGGTGGTTACTTCATCGTGTTTGAGGAGGCTGGGTTTCTTGGGGGTGGGTTTGGAGAAATTGCAGACCAGGGCGGTGGCAGGATAGCGACGGGTGCCGTTCTCCATGATGAAGCCGGGCTGGAGGTTGAAGTTGGCTGCGTGACCGTATTTGCCTTGTCGGGGGAAGAGATCTAGGTAGAGGTACCCCACGAATCCACTGCCTTCACCTTCATCGTCCCACACGCTGAAGACTTGGACTTCGTCATGCCAGACTATATCGTTGCCTTTGCCGGAGGGCGAGATTGCATCGCGATCTGACCCAGTAATCTCGACAAAGACCAGACCAAAGAGTTCCTCAAAGATCTGCAGCATACCCTGGATGGTGGTCTGAAGAGGAAAGTATTCGGATATCAACTGTTGGTCCAGAGAATAGTCCTGCTCTTCCATCATTCGGTCGTAAAAACGATGGTCCCAGAGGTAGTAACGGTCATCAAATTTCTCATTCCGGGATTCGAGGTCCTTCTTCTTCATTTCTTTGAGGGTTTTGATCTCTGCTACACCACCATCGCTGAGCCGAGACCTTAAGTCTCCAAGGAAGTCGTCCACGGTTTTGGTGGTCTTGGCCATCTTGTCCTCAATCTTAAATGCGGCATGATTTGGGTATCCCAGCAGTCGAGCAGCCTCATCTCTTAATAGAACTGCTTCCCGAAACAACGGCACATTCTGATTGCACTTGTTCTCGTTGGAAATAAAGACCTTCTGTCTGGTTGCACTGTTCGTCCCATACTTCAAGGTGGGGAAAAGATCCGGATATTTGAATGTCAGCCAATATTTGCCCTCCTCTTTCTTGAGCCCAGACAAAACGTCTTCTGGAACACCATTCAATTCTTCTGGTGTAAGCCATAAGCCTCCTTTCTCTTCGTTCAGGTTCTTCTGAAAGATGATGCTGAGCTGACTGAGTCTCTTCTTGATCTCCTTGAATCTATCGCGCTTCGGGCCAGCCGGAATGTTGAGACCGTTTCTGATGTAGCCCTTGTGCTCTTTCTCCAACAACCGCTGCGATTCAGGATCTAGCTTGTCACCCTTCCTCAGCGCCGCGTCCACCAATTTATACACATCCTCGCGCATTGATGCTTCGATGGAAAAATCATCCATCATCTTCTCTGCCTCAGTGGATGCGTCACGAAGCTCTTGGTCCGTCGAGACAGACTGATAGAAGCCGAGGATGTGCGCCACTAAACCTTGCCTGTTCTCATCATGCGCCATGGGCAGAACGACCTTCTCGAAGCTCGCATCCTGTTCCTTGACTTTGGCAACGATGTCGTCAGTGAGCTTTCTTGACACATCAATGAATTTTTTGGTGTCTTCAACCACAGAAGTCGGAGTGGCGGTGAAGACGGGTGGAGCTTGCGGAGGGGTTTTCAGCTTCAATGGAGCCATTGTAGATGTGGTGACTGGTCTGGTAGCAGAGATTGAACCCCAAGGTACAGGTGGCCTTGGTGGTCTGGTTTGTGATACAAGGGCGGAGAGACGGGCAGAGATACGAAATGGAGGAGCCAGAATGAGGGCGAAGAGGACGAAGATGGGGAAGACAGAGAGATAGTAGGTCTTTCTAGAGACCGCCAGCTTGTCAAGTGATCAGACGTAGTATCATCAAGCACAGAAATAGAGACTTAGTAACAGCGTGTGACACGACACGACAAGACAAGACAAGGGCATTCTTCCTCCTTCATGATCCTCATAATCCTCATCGTCTAAATCTGGAGCCGGGGCTAGTGCGCGGCAGGATCTTACTTAGCAGTCCAGCCTTACACAAATACGGGGAATCCAGCAGAGGCAGCTGGTCTGGAGGGGCCCGGATCTTCAATCATGCTGAAGAGCCCTGTCCCAATTAACAAATCTCGTCCAGAGGCTAGGCATAATCATCCTTAACCATCCTTTATCACCGAGCACCCGGTGCAGTGCAACCGTTCACCCATCTCCACAGAGACCAGAGCAGCGCTCCATAATACATAATACGGGAGGAGGCATGATCATCAGTGACATGGCCTGCAAAAACCACGGCTCTGTGGCAGCTTTCTCCGCATCATCTCCGCATCTGCTTTGCTTTCTGTGTGGAAATGTCCTTTGCCGGAGGGTTAACATTGGAAAGATTGATCCATGAAGTAGGAGGGGAACAGATCCATGGCACTGTTCGAAGCGGCAGCAACCAAGAAGAAAGACCACTTTTCGATCCTTTCGTATGTTTTCTTGCCAATCGTCACCTACTGTCTTTCCCCCCTGCTCAGTTTATTTCTCCGGTTCCCGTTTTCTCCTTCCACTTCTCCTTCAAGCCCGGGTTAAAGCACCCTGCCTAGAATGTCTCTCTCTGGCCGCGGCCTCAAGTCCATCCTTCAAAAAAACCTAACTGATGTCGTCATTCTCTCGTCCCTCCGCACGCCCATCACCCGCGCGAAAAAGGGCGCTTTCAAAGATGCCTATCCAGAAGAACTCCTCTCTGCCGTCCTCAAAGCCACTCTCGCCGCGAATCCGAACCTGGACCCAGCCAAGATTGATGATGTGGCAGTCGGGTCTGTCTTACAAGAGCTTGGTGGCGCGAAGGCAGGCAGAATGGCGCAGCTACATGCTGGCTTTCATCCAACAACCGGCTTCTGCACAGTCAACCGACAATGTAGCTCAGGACTGGCCGCCATTACAATGGTGGCAAACAGCGAGGAATTACGGCAGCAGAGCCATCCCCACGGTGCTGTGGCCGGAGTTGAGAGATTCAGACAACGGTGATGCAAGAGCTTGCATCATGCCGATGGGCATTACGAGCGAAAATGTGGCGGAAAGATATGGCATTTCCAGGAATGATCAGGATGCATTTGCTGCAAATTCCCATGTCAATGCCAGCAAGGCTCAGAAGGACGGATTGTTTGATGATGAGATCGTGCCAGTGACTACAACATGGCTGGATCCAGATGCGCCAGAGCAGCCAGGCAAGGTCATCAAAGTTGATAGGGATGACGGCATAAGACAAAATGCTAGCCTGGAGGGGATGAGAAAGCTGAAGCCGGCATTCAAGGAAGACGGTTCTAGTACCGCCGGGAACAGTAGCCAAATTTCTGATGGTGCAGCGGCAACTCTGTTAATAAGACGGAGTGTAGCCATCGAGTTGGGATTATCATCAAGCATCCTTGGTAAATGGGTGGCAACCCAAACCATTGGATGCCATCCTGATGAAATGGGCGTCGGTCCAGCAGTCGCGATTCCAAGGCTGTTAGATGTGACCGGGTTACAGACCAAGGAGGTGGGCATCTGGGAGATCAATGAAGCGTTCGCCAGTCAGGCTTTATACTGTATCAGAAAGCTTGGAATCCCTGAAGAAAAGGTTAATCCAAAGGGTGGAGCCATTGCTCTGGGTCATCCACTGGGTGCAACTGGGGCAAGACAGCTGGCAACTCTATTGTCAGAATTAGCAAGACAAGGCCAGGACGTTGGTATTGTAAGTATGTGTGTAGGGACTGGAATGGGCATGGCCAGCATGTTTGTCAGAGAGTAAATATAGATAATGGAAAAGCACAGTGCCAGAAGAACATTGGAGTATTGTGACTTGACTTGCAGTGTGCTGAACGAATGCTATCTAGGGTATCGTGAGTTGACACAGGCACAAGCACAATCATGACATGTCTTGCAAGCCATCTAAGCTGCTCCTCATGCCCGCTTGACATAAAGCAAATACTAAAGACCGGCTCAGTGTGGCCGTCTCTTTTCCCATGCCTGCCTTGACCGAACCCACAAGCTATGCAACTGCAAGTCGGTTGTCTAATGTATAGCACAAAGGAAACACGATGATGGCGCTGGTGTCTTGCAGATCGAAAGAAAGGATCCATCGATGCAATAACCAAGGTCTTCAGCCTAGGCCAGCTCCACAAACCAGAGCACAGATAGCCCCATATGTGATGAGCTCTCCGAAATCGAGCAAGTATGGAAGAAAACAAGTCAAAGTTTTCCAAGCAAGTGCTAAGGTTAGCAGATGCAACGCCCCACAACCCTAGAGCAGAGGAAAAACCATTGTCCTGGACTACCCATACTATTTCGCTGTGTCAGTGTTAGCTATTTGCAGCTCAGCAATGCTGTCCTCAAGCTCGTCGGTAGGATCAGTGGCTACCCCACTGTCGCTTGATCCGACATGAGCCTTAGAATGCCCTGCTTGTGCTTTGGTGCAGTGGTGGTGGCCAGGACATACGTGTGCGGCGGTATTAGCATTGTCAGTGACATTGTCGTTGCTATCGCACTGGCTTGTGAAGCTGTTCGTGCCACTTGAAGTAGTTTGCGTCCAAGCTGTGCCATCTCTGATGCGGTAGAACAGCTCTTCATATTTCTGAGCCATAGTTACTGAAGTCCAACGCTTCTCAAACTCAGCCCGAATTCGCTTGCGATCAAGTTTAGCTGCATCAGCAACTCTTGCTGCAGCTTCCTCCACGCTATTGACGATGAAACCTGTCACACCTTCCTCAACAACCTCAGGAACTGCACCTTTGTTGTATGCAATGACCGGCGTACCACAGGCTATTGCCTCAATCATGACCAGACCAAACGGCTCCTTCCATGCAATCGGAAAGATAAGAGCAACAGCACCACTGAGAAACACACTCTTGCCTGCATCTGCAATTTCTCCGATGTAGTCAACGTCATGCTTTTCGAACAGTGGCTTGACTGATTCTTTGAAATAAGTCTCATGAATAGCCTCACGCTTGGCGGCTACTTTGAGGTGCTTGCCAGCCAAAGCAGAGATTCGAACTGCATCAGGAGCACCTTTCTCGGGTGCAAGGCGGCCGAGAAATGCGAGATATTCGGGCTTCGTTGAGGAAACTGGCGCCAAAAGGTACTTTGGTAGGCCGTGATAGATGGTCTGAAGCCAATATTCTGCGCCTGTGAGGATATCCCGCTGGCTATCAGAGATGGATGTGGCGCCTGCGTTCGCATTGTTGTAGAGTGTTTGGAGGGTTTCGCCTTTGTTCTCAACATGCAGCTCACAATGGTCAGTCCAAACGTATGGCCCCGGTCTGTCAAAGATGTCACGGTGAAATGGGAATATCCCATGGTGAATGTTGACAACATCGTAGCTGGTAAGATCGGCAAGCACACGCTTGAGTTGAAGAGTGTATGGATATTGCATTTCTGCAATTGTGCCAGTAATGCCGGCATCATGTAACGTTATAGGTGTACACTGGACCAACTCTGCTCCCGTCTTACACCCCTCCGCAGCGTATAGAGTTACTGAGTGTCCCAGTGAAACAAGTCCCTCAATCAGATAAGCCACCACGCGCTCAGTACCGCCATATTTCGTCGGTGGGACAGTGTAATACAGCGGTGCGACTATAGCGATGCGGAGTTTGTTAACTGACTGCATCTTGGAGAGCGTAGGAGCCATAGTCGGTGAGATGTTTTCTAGTTATAGTTAGTTGTTGGACATAGATTGCGAAGAACACCTGGTAATGCTAGATGAAGATCTGGGGATTTCAAACAATTATGAGAACAACACGGAAAGCCTTAAGTACGTTGCAGGATATCTGGCAGAATATGCTAAACAAGTCTGAGAGGCTCGCGAAGACGTAACATGAATGTAACATGAATGTGAAATTTAGTTACGGATATAGCAGCGATGACAACCAAATGAGAAACATTCTTGGGAAGACCAGATCTGCTACTCCGTCCCAGATGCTGTGTATAAGGACATCGGGCAAATCTGTCAGAACTCCAGAAAGGCAAAGTCGGGCGGAAGATCGGTTAGCGATTTAGATCGGCTGAGCTCATCATCGCAGTCCACTACCATCCGCACGCATCAAATGACATTTGTTTGGGATTACAGAAGTCGTCCAGATGAGCAAACAAGAACCGCTCACAATAACAATAACTATAACGTAGAACACACATGATTTTCGATCTCATTAGTGCCTTACCTCATCCTTGCCATGCTAGCATGAGCAGGTATAGATGACGAACATAATGGCAACGAGGGTGACCGGTAGTCCCAAAATCAAATGGTGCTATTGCGGACAAAATAGCGTGTACATAGAGGTAGTCAAAGAAAGAAGTGACATCATATGGACTTTTAGCATGAATATTGAGGGAAGCTGAGCGTGGGTATGTGGTAGAGGCAAAAATGTTTAGGGAAGATGACATCAAAGTGAGGTCGGCTGCAGAAAAAAAAAACCATCGAACCACGTATTTGCTGATGTGAGAAGTATATAGTATGCTTACTTGATAGCAGTAGAACGATTAGAGTTGTTGTGGTGGACGAACAAGGAAGGCTGTTGACGATGAGATACTCTGATGGTAAGGTCAGCGGCCAAATAGACGACAAACCCGCGTCATGATAGAGGCAGAGAGAACGTAATAGACTTACTTGGTAGTAGTCGGATGAGTATGGCTGTTGCTGTAGACTGTTGCCAAAGGTTGTTGTTGCTGCGACGATGTGATGTGTTGTTGTGACGATGTGATGTGTTGTTGTAGTGTTGAGATGTTGTGGGTGGAAGGAAGAAGGTGTAAGTAGAACAGTGGAAGATGAAGGTATTTGTAGGTGGGAAGGACTACCGAAGCTGCAGTGGACAGAAGGAAACACACGAAGTTTGTCTATAAAAAAGAAGACACTGCTCACTAGCGTGGTTTAAGAATTATCTTCAGCACGAAAAGAGGAAGGTCCGGTGGTCGGAGGGCATGCATGGCATTCACTATCATCAACAACTTCTATGCTCTTGACTTGCTCAGGATCGGCAATCCTTTGCTATGCAGCTCCGCTTCAATGATCTTCCACCTTCCAAGGCGTTTGTCCTTGTCAACAGGAGTCTCCCTTCGCGGCATAATGTGCACATTTGGAAGGTTGATAACATCTGGCTTGGTGAGGAGACGGTCAGCTATCTTCTTCGGTGGTGAATCCCTATCCTGTCTGAGGTAGCTGTAGATGGGGCTCAAACTTTGAGGGGCTGTTATGAGAGGATCCGGTATGCGATGCCCTGTCAATTGGGATGCTCGCTTGATGACCTAGTGCACATAGGATCAGCAACAGCCAAAATTTATCAGCTTGTTAAGTACTTACGGCAAACCGTAGCTCAAGGGGTTCCAAAGGCATTGTGATGAAGTCGGCAGAAGTGACAGTATATGCTGTGCGTTTCTGTGGGGGGAGACCTTCAATGTTGTTCTTGTTCTCCTCCCCATTCCCATTATTCGTTTCCTCCTTAGTAGCCACGAATGTGTGAGTCCCGTCATCTTCCATGTCCTGCCCCGGAAAGTCGGCCTTCTGCGACTGCAGCTCTTGAGACTCTTGATCTGGCGCTGTGAAAGTAGTATCTCCGTTTGCCTCCAAAGCTTGCACTTCTGCATATGTAGTCTTTGCTACAGGCTCATATGGACTAACTGACGCCTGGAGGTCATCGCCCTGGATGGCTTCAACGATCGACCGCCTTTCACCATCCTTGTATTTCAGCACTATTTGCTTGCTATGGTGATCAAACTCAATGATAGTCGTGGAGAGTGCCGCAAGCACATCCGGCTTGTAAGCAGTATGACCCAGACTATAGGTAAGAGGAAGACATGAATCTCGCAAAGTGACAACTTCAACTACAGCTTGATGCAACGCAGAGAGGATTTCTTTCCTGGAGGAAGCTTTCTCGAATGCAGCCAGGTAACTGGTCACTGTCAGCACATTGGCAAGCACCATCACCAGCTCAGCTTACGGTCGAAATGAATCTGCAGGTGTAGGAGGGGTTTCACTCCAATGCCCAGACAGGCCTACTTGCTCAAGCCCGTTCCAGGTTTCAGCCTGTACGTATGTAGGATCCTCCTTCTCTGGATCGTTTTCTGGAACTGATCTTGATCTCATCATCTCTTGAGCATGTGAATGTTCGGTGCTCTGTGCCGATTCCTCTTCCAACGTCGACATCTCAGGTAGCCCTGGCTCAGGTAATGCTGGTTCATGCTCCACCATTGTAGGCTCAGTTGGTACTCGTCCAGGTCCCAGGACTTGACCCCGTCCCCGCTCTGCCTGCGCCTCCTGTCGTCGTCTCTCAAAAAACCCTGGGCCCCCATAGGGGTCTTTCAACCCAGGCGGGTTATCTGATCCCCACATCTTCCGTCGAATACGCTCCGTCCATGGCAAGCCGGACGATGCATTTCGTGTTGACTGCATATGTGATATGCCCTGCCGAAGAGCTTGATGGCGGCATGAGGCACATATGTATGGCAATGCGCGGGTACGGAGACATGTTGACTTGCTGGATTGAAACGTAGGTATTGATGGACGCATAGTGAGTGCCTGCGGTGGGCAAATGGAGAAGTCTTCAAAAAGATGCCTTGCAACGTTAGTGCTAACTAATAGTAGTAGTTTGCCGAGACCACGTGATATCATCCCTAGATGATGTTACTATCCGATAAGTGCTTCCAACATGCAGAGGCTGGTTTTGAGGTTGGTATCCATGACCTTCAACTGCTTTGGATTGAGCATATCACACGGTTGGCATCCATATCCACGAAACAATCCTTCCCACAAGTTATGAATATACACAACACTACTGTCTGGTTGCATTGAGTCTTACCATGATCCGGTCCTATCTATAATGCACCCTGGGTCATCTCCCCCACACATGCTTCCTCTAACTCCTAGCTTTCAGCACTCCTAATGCCTGCATAATGAGTATTCTTGTCCAGTGAATTCCCTGCTTTGAATACAGATCACAGGTCCGGTGCTTGATCACCGCTTACATCAAGTAACCTCAAGGCTTTTCACCACGAATCACCCATGATAACTCTTTCTCTCCCCTTCCTTTGCACTGAACCCTTCGTCCGCTATTTGCTGCTCCACCATCCAGTCCAGAACAGTTTCGTAGCACAACACGAACTGTCTCAGACTTTGCACCATGCTCAGTCTCTGCGCGCGGAAATCCTTGACAGTCTTTGCTATCAGGTCTACATCACCCCGGTCGATCCATTCCCTTCTGTGAATGTCATCATCAGAATCAAGGTCCATTCGATCATCCCCACATTCTATCTTCTGCCTTTTCAACATGTCAACCACGCTATCAACGGTACAGAACGTCCCTGTCCTTCCACAACCAGCAGAGCAGTGTACAAGTATCGGCTTCTGACCTTTCGGCGCCGGCTCCGCTGCGCCATGGGTAGGATGAGTTGGACTTGCACTGCCCCGTACACATTTGCTCGTCTGTTCAATCAAGGCAAGTAGGTGTTGTGGGTGTGCTGGTGCGCCAAAGTCAGGCCATTGAGTATACTGTATCTGTGTGATTTCACGCATTGGCTGGAAGGGAAGGTTGGAATGCGATATTGTGAAATGTCGTACTGTGGCAAAAGGAGTCTCAGGGGGCCGTTGTTGGTTTCCCTGAGCGCTTGACTTTTCAGCTTCAGTAAGTGGGTTGGTGGACCGGCGTGGGCCGATACTGGGTCTTTGAAGTCTAGTTTGCTGCATCTTCTCCCGCTTCAGCTCCAAGGGCACACGCTTTTCAGAGAAGAGTTTCAGCTTCAATGGTCCATAATCACCTGTGTGCCAATAAGGGTGGCTCTTAAGCTGTCCGCCTTCTGACTCAGCTGTGAGCATGACAATGACCCGTACATCTTGCTCCCATACAAGGCGCCAGAAATCGTTGAAGGTCGCCGGGATAGGAGCTTGGGTTGCGATGTAGCGTTTGTTCGAATACGAAGCCTTTACGTGGTTGGCATTGATGTAATCACAGCCTCCCGCACCCACCTCTTTCAGATGCACTCTGGTATGTTCGAAGGGGAAAATATTATTGTACCGATTTTTGGCTCCTTTCTCAACCCCGGCAATTTGAGTCTTGCTGAGTCTATCGGACTGTGGAGAGCCATATAAGACAGTGCAGTTCAATGCATCTTGCATGAGCTTCTGTTCTGTCTGCTCAATCGCAAGGAACTCGTCCGATATTAACTTCCCATTATTTTCCTCCGCCACGCTCCTTTTCAACCATTCGGGAAGTGCATTCTCGGATTGCGCAGACATCTCATAAGGATGAGCTACTGGCATTTGGCCGACACCATCCAGCAAGTCCATGTTCTGGCGGATGTTGTTGAAAAACGGATTTGCCGCGGACTTTGACGTTGGCATGGGACACCCACCAGCCACAGGAGCGACCATCTGTGCAGAAGCCGGTAGCGTGAGAGGGGATTTCGTGATACCGGCCGCAGCATTGCCTGAGCCTTGTTCTACCATAGACGGATGGGTTTTGGAAATCTCAACAAAACCACCCTTCAGTATGACACCTTGGCCCTTCCACCCCTCGACATAGAACTTCTTTAAAACATTAACCGAGTTCTGTGCGTCCTTCGAGTTATTCGAGCTGGAGTCGTAGACTGCAATGAAGCTACAATTTCTCCATTGTGAAAACCTTGCTCGATCTGCTTCCACCGCAAAGGTGTCTCGTAGCTTCTGGGTATTGAAGGAAGGCCTCTTCATCAAAGTGGTTGGAATACACAGATTCAGTGCGCCACGAACCCTAGATATGGAGTACTGCGGCGCCACTCGAAGGTCCAACAAAAGCACATCCTCAGGCACACTTTGTAGCAAGGTAGCGAAATCGTGCGGATTAACCATACTTGGACCATCTTTGTGAAGTGTATCTGGTAGAGTTTCCGCGCGTTGCACGGGCTTCCGATCCGGGTGTGCAGGCGGCGTATGTAGATGATGGCCGGGTAATGAGAGGCGCGCGCTGCGATGATCTATGGCTGGGCCTTGACTCGGCGACAATCCAGCTGGTGAGTCGCGTCGAGGAATATCAAAAAATGACATTTGACCAGTCTTGCTTTCCACACGGTCCCTGCCAGGCTTATGCGCGGGATTTGGTGTAGCGGAAGACTGGACGGCCGAGCGAGGTGAGACAGGACTGTCTTGTCTAGATTGACTGGATGACTGTTTGAGGGAGACCTTGTGGGAACCCTCGAATTTGCTGAGTGCCCCTATATTTGCATGACCCAAGTTGAAATGGTCGTGTTCAGATTGTCGCCGAAATGCCTCGAACTCGGGGTTTGCGTCAACCGGCGGCGCGGTTGGTGTGTCGTGAGCATTCAAAGATACGTAGTCCCAGTTCGGACGAGCATACTGCCCCGGATTCGAATCTGGTGGATCTGAACTTTCAGCAACCGCGAAGCCAAAATAGCTTGGACTCGTGGTTTGTTTCGCCTTGGACTGCGTGGTGCCATGAGGCAGAATTGGAGGCATCGACTCTCCAACAGGAACAGGGGTTCGGGGTGGTAGGCTGTAGGGTGTGATAGAAGGACGAGGATGAGAGGGTCGAAGATGTGATGGGGTTGATGATGAAGGGGACTTCCAGGTCGCTGTGGTGGCTGTGGCCGACATGGCAGTTGGCATGTACACTTTAATTGATTGAGCTATAGCAGGTGCTACTCGTACTCGGTGCACGTCAGTTGTGCCACATGGTGATTGTCAAGGCCATTTCGACCAGAAGATATAACAAGGATGCGATAATTGGGAACTCTGTTAAACGTGCAGGCTGAAAGGCAAGGTCAGAGATTGAGCTCAGGTAGCACTACTTAGTAGCATGGTCGTACTTTGCCAAGGGGGGGCGGGTATGACGTTGAAGCGGCGACGGGAGGAGTCTCGGAGGATAAATTCGTCAAGGGACTACGCAGGGTAAGACGGTGTGGACACTCACACGGGACGGGGCATCAGCTCAGATTTTTCCAACTGACCGAAGTGGAGATACGAGAGAAGCTAGGATTGTGCACTGGAGCAAATCCGTATAGATTGGCTTTTTGAGCTGTCAGCAGTGAGATTTCGAAGACCAGGCGTTTGTGGCTCATCTAACTCACCCTTGAAAATAGTGCTCACAGGGTTTTTTTCTAATACTGACCCCAGGACTCCGTGATGTGGCCCTTGTGGTATGGGGCTGATAATACTTAGTAACCGCGGCTGAGAGATCAGGCGCGCGAGCGCTTTCCAGTTAGGGTCAGTTTCAGAGCGCTATAACTAAGTGATTTCAGGGTCCAGATGGCCAGGGTTGGAGTTGTGTCGAGTGAGTGCATCTGGGTGAGACTGGGAGACAAGCAACCGCAGATCAGCTGGCACTGCAAATCAAAGCGTTGGCGCAATGGGGAGGCGTTAGATCGAGGATCGTCGCTTGCTATGACGCACGCATGTCTGCCTATCAAAGCCAATAGCCGGCAGCTGAGACAAAGGGACCGCAAATCAATCAACAACTCGGTCAGGACATGCTCACTTTATATGTATATTGACAGCTGGAACTTCCAAGACACCTTTACAAATAGAACGGCCTACATTTGGGAAGGTCTTCGGTAGCTGGTCGCTTCAGTTCCTACCATGTTCTAGACTCTTCAATCGACTGCGTCTGGCTTACAAACTGCAAGTCCCGATCCTGGTCAAAGCTGTAAATGAGGCACTGGGGCGCTTACTTAAGGGTAGCACTGCTTGCTGGCTGGTTGGCTGGTTGGCTCCAACTATGCACCTGCATTAGAATGCCCCCGGAGTTGCGGAAGATGCATGGCCGAGCTTGGGCCTCTGGATGCCTTATGATGAAGGTAAACGATCTAGAAGCGGGCGACCAACAATACCTACTCGGAGCTGCCCAAAAGTGAGTTCTAGCGTTAGGCCGTCTTGGTAATTAGCGATGTACAGATTTCGTTGATCTAATTCGAATATCTAGCTTCCCCAGCATCCTTTACCATATTTTTGATCTCATTTTCTGGGGACACATTGGTCAATCTGGAACTCATTTTCTCGGCCGCAGAGTACTACTCCGTGCATATAAACAATCTCCCCGCAGTTTGGTCAGTTGTGTCCTATTCGAACTAGTTTAGAACGGACAGCAACAGCTGTTGTGTTCGTTCTACTAATGTATACTCGCCCATGCTGCACCAATGTTCCGACATCTATTTGAGTCATGTCCTGACTGAAAGCGGCTAATCTTATAATACACACAAGCATTGTCACGGAAGAAAACTCTTAGTGGTGCTTTCGTTCACTTCACGAGACTTCGATCACCATCGCCTCCTTTAGCAAGCCCGCTTCTCATTATCACGAACGTTTGTCCCTCTGGATTGCGGATAGCACCCGTTTTGCCTTCCCAGTTCTTCAATAGTTCCGCCAATTCCCTTAAAGACACTGGCTTTGTCATATAGATGTCACAACCAGAAGAAAGCCCTTCAGCTTGGTCTTGACCATTCGCTAGCCCGATCAAAGCAATGATCATGGAAGGCTTGTGCTTGTTCTCTGCTTCGAAAATCCGTATAAGACGGGTGGCTTCGAAGCCGTTCATAATAGGTGTCGAACGTTGCTGACTAATCAGGAGA